ATTATTATTATTATTAATAAAGTCAGTTTAAAGCTGTATTAGACTACAATATAACAAACCACACTTTAGACAGTATATGGTTTGTCAGTTTCATTGGACTGAAGGCTAATGTGACCATAAATTAGTTTTGTTGCATTTTTATTGTCACTATTACGACAACAGATCATTTATTAATCAGTGCTTTTGTTTCATGTAAAAACTTTAAAAAAGTTTTTTTTTAATATCCCAGTTATTTTTGTGTCAGAACACATTATTATCTTGCACATCATACATTACACATTGTTGTCGCTTACAATGGTCTGCAAGATATTTATTTCTTAAAACGTTTTTTAAGATATTTGTTTGTTACATCATGTAATTCAGTTTTGCAGACTGCAGACACAATCACATAATATGTTTCTGTTGTCGACAGGTGACCCAGGGCTCAGACCCCAGTGCATTGGTTGCCATGGATACAGCGACAGTATTGTACACCCGGGCCCAGCAGCGTTACTTCAGCTCGTACTCGCCTGTCATTGGATTTTACATCTATGAGAGTGCCCCCTACTGGAATGTCTCTGTGCAGCGGGACCTGCTGGAATACGCCAAGGGCTTCCAGCGAATCAGCTGGCTGGAAGCTTACCTGAACTACCTGTCAGATCGCAACCAGTCCACCAGCCAACCGCGGGAAAACTTCACCCGGACGCTCCGCCACGCCTTCCTCCGTGAGCCGCAGTTCGCCCATTTTGCAGACGACATCATATTTGCGGAGCGAGGTCAGGGCGAGGAGCCCGATGTGGCTGCGTCCCGAATCTTCCTGGTGGCCAAGACGACGGAGAACAAACGCGAGGAGATGTCAGTGCTGCTGGACACGCTGCGACGCCTGTCACTGACCTCACGCGTCCGCTTCCTAATCTTCAACCCCTCCTTCGTCTACCTGGACCGCTACGCTGCAGCGGTCAGCTCCCCCCTCAGACACTCACTGCTGGCGGTGCTCTTCCTGTTGGGTTTGTCCTCGCTGGCCGTCGTTGAGCCGCTGGTCTCTGTATGGCTAGGCCTCACCCTGCTCTCCGTCCAGTTCGGGGTGCTGGGCTTCATGACCTTGTGGGGTGTGGAGCTGGACTGCATGTCTGTGTTGTGTCTGATCTCAGCCTTGGGGCACTCAGCAGACTGCAGCGGCCCCCTCCTCTGTGGTTTCGCCTCGGGTCGGGGTGACAGCAGGACTCGCTGGGTGAGAGTGGCGCTGGAGAGGCACGGGGTTCCCTCTCTACAGACGCTCATCTGCTACAGCGCCGCTCTGGTGCCTGTTGGCTCTGTACGCTCCAACCTCACGCGCACACTGTTTCGCTGCCTCACCCTAACGGCCGGCTGCTCGGCCCTGCACACGCTTGCGTTCCTGCCCACCCTCCTCACCTTCCTGCCTCCCTCCAAGAGCCGGGGACACCGGCCCGAAGGAGAGGGCCAGAGACAGGAAGTGGAGTGTGTTGAAATGAACGACAGCACCCGAGTGGTCGACCAGATCACCACTGTCTGAGCATGGGATGATGTTGTGTTTTTTTTTTTTTTTTTTGGCTCCCCTGGTTGCCATGGTGACTGCCGGCTGGGAATTGGTTCATTGAAGTCTGAGCAGCCGCTATGCATGCTGCAGACAAGAATGCTGATCCTTGTGAAGAGGGGAAGAAACGAATAGTGTCACTGAGATAAAGATAGGAAGAAAAAACAGAGGTTGATGGTTCAAGAGGAAACAAGTGAAGGAGAGTGGGAGGCGAGTGAAGACAAGAAGAGAGAAAGATGGGTTTCAATGCAGCGTATCCATGGTTACCTGCTTGTTGCTAGTGCTGTGTGGCATGTGAATGAGCTATTTCCCAAACAGCCAATTGGAAGTCGAGGATCAGCCGTTACCACAGAGGAAGTGCCACATTTTTCACCTCTACAAAAAACTTGCTTTAGATCTGATCACGTTGTTTGGCTACTGCTATCTGTTCGCCATACCAAGTTGCACAAATACAGCTACAATGACATGAGGCAATCATCTGTATGACTTGAGTATTTCTACTTTAATGCTGGACAAATAAAGTCAAATAAAAAAAAAAACATGCTCTTAAGTGGTTTTGGATTTGATGCAGGTTCTAATATTTTTAGTTTCGTACATAAATGGTGTCAAATTGGTTCTTAATATGTCCAAACATTCTGTCCTTGAGGTAAAAACGACGCGTTTAGGCCACATCAGATACTGAAATTAAGTGTGGAACTATTTTAAAATGTATTATGACATTGGGGACAGAAAACATTACTCTCCTTTTCATTATTATACAGGTGTTAATGTGAGCCACAAAAAAATTAAAGGCTGGGCTCATTTAAATTTGAAAAAAAACAACAATCACTTGCCTCTAATGGTAGCCTTGCAGATGGCTGCGGTTATTACCCTGAGTCAGTGGAAGTGAATGTGATTTTGTTTGTGGTAGAAATATGGCTGAAAGTGTCCCAGTTACTCTTGCTAATTCACAGAATGCAGTGTCATCAGTTTTAATTGGTACTACTTTCTATTGAAGAAATAGTCCCTCTTGACAGTTCTGCTCTGGACCCTTATTTACTTCAAGCCTTCAAGCTCTATCTTCTCAGTTCTCCTAATGATGCTTAACGTATGGGCTAAGTTAAAATGACTAGCATTGTCTTCCCAGTATAAGATTTCTTGAGTACTGTGTGGACATTTTGCCCCTAGACAGACGGTCAAGGGTCCCAAACTGACCCAAAACCTACATCCAAGCAAATCTCTCTCTGTTCTGGTGCTATATACAGTAAGTATAAATAGTATATAATTGTCAACAAGTCAGCCAATCACCACATGTGTACAGTAAAAGCAGTCTAAAACCTTTTAAATCTATTTAACACCTGGGAACATGTACATGTTTTATTCACTGTAAATGTCCGACGTCTGAGTTTAACTCAGTTCAGATAATTATAATTGTCAGGGTGCTTTATTCTGCAGGAAATGAGAGCAACACAAGTTGTGTTTCTTCTTGTCTTTCTGATCTGTAAACCGGTTGAATGAAAGTATTGTTCTCTTTCAGCCTCCTGTGACTCTCCCCCCTGAAGGGAAAGGAGCTTGTTGCCTTTTTTTTTATTCTTGAATTCATCTCCGCGGCTGAAGGTCTGTGTGTGGGAGTGCTTCCTATTGTTAATCCATGCTGCTCTCTGACACTTGAATGAAAGCATTGTTCTCTCTCATGGCTCTGTGCAGGCGCCACAACCACCAGTAAGAGATGGAGCACGATCCCTCACCGGCTTCCCACCCATGAATGCTGCCAGTTGGGTTTTGTTGAGAGCACATGCACAAACTCCGAGCTGGAGGCACCTCTAACTGTGGGCTGCGTCATCTTTTGTAAAACATGGCACTTACACAATTACACACGGCTGAATGCGGTTATTTCTAAATATAAACCCCACACAAAGGGAAGCGGAATGCTCTGGTGCATGTAGAAATGGTAAATTATGGGACATTTACCAAACATGAACATCCTGGAAAAAACATCTTCTTCAGTTAGAAAAGTCCAACCAATAAAGTCAAATCGAATTCTGTAACAAACCCACGTTTCTCCTTTCCTGTAAAATCAAACTCTATCCTTTCTTTCCATAACTAATAGCCCATTTGTTCACACTTACGCCTGAGCTCTCAGGGTAGAAACACTCAGGATGCAGCAGGACCACCAGGAACCACAGACACCTCCCACACTTAGTCGTTTGTGGCCAAATCAATCGTGCTGTCAATCCAAACGCAGTTTATGGCTGCTTCCTCTGCATCGTTGGAAAGTAAAGTAAAGCAGATCAATGTAGGAGCTGTGGAGTTTGATGTGAGGTGTAAAATACTGGGCTGCAATTCACTTTGATTTACAATAAATACACAAGGCGTGTAGTGAGAGATTGTGGAGGAAGATAAAGAAACCAATGTCAGGAACTAAGGTCATTGATTGACAAACTGAGGTTCGTTGTATGCAGTATGGTCTTTTATGTTGCTTGCATCCAGCTGCTGCCATCCTTTAGGTTTCATTACCGCCTGCCTCATTAGACCTTGTCAATGTCTAAGTGTTCTACATTTGTTTAATTAGTCCGCTTCTGCACTTCCCACTACCTCCACACCCTAAAATACTTCTCATACTGGTATAATCCTAAACTAAAAGCAGTGTTAATTGCATACACCTGGACCCTGGACTATACCAAACACAGCAAAGGGGGGATTTGGGGAAAGACCCTCTTTTTCTGAGTATTTTGCAGTTCATTTTGTTATGTTTCGTATAGAGACATTCTATTTTCCATATTAATATCGAGTTAGCAACAAACAAAAAACTGTAGTTTGTTAACTGCAAGTCTGTGCTTGTAGCTGTTGTGTTTTGCCCACCTCTTATTGGATTGGCCTGCCACTATATATGTCACCCCTGCATGAAAGGAAGTCAGTTTTGTCTTTTTCTGGGGGTTGGATAAACACCTAGTTTTATTGCCGTTCATTTTGCTGTATTTTGAGTTCAGTTCTGTTTTGTTGACCTCTTTAGGGCCCTATTTAGTCAATGATCGTAAATTTGCTCAGCTTTTTCTCATTTTTTTTGGGTGAATAAAAACCCTTCTTAAAAACATGAATACTGCAAAATGCTTCTTCTTGTGTCCTTTGCTTGGTCCCTTACAAGGGGAAATGGAATTTTGACCTGAAGTCACTATTCTTTTCTATTCATTTTGAGGGAGGACAGGAATGCCTGTACCAAATGTCATGACAATCCTGACATTAGTTGACATTTCACTAAAAAATAAAAGCATCCACCTCATTCTCTGAGGAATGTCTCTACAAATTTGAATGATAATCGATTGGTGGCTAAAATAATATATAGCCAAATTCATGTTAAAGGCAGCATAGTACCACATTGTACTGTATACACTAAGCCTCAATTTATGTCAGTCAGTTTCTGACCTTGTTTACTCCGCAGTCATTCTCTCAACTCTAAAACTATCTGCCGTACATCCCTACTTCATCCCCGCCATCGAAAGCTATTGTTGGTCCACTTGTTGCAAAATCTCTTCTTTGATTTTTCTGATTATTCTCAATCTTAGCAAAAAAAAAAAAAAGTGAAGCAAAACAGCATGTTTTCATAAAAAAATAATCACTGGTGTAAAGAAAAAATCCTTTTCTCATCGAAAAGTAGTACCCAGGAGCAGAAACCTTTGGGGTTTTTGGGCCTAACTTTCTGAAAAGGTTCTAGATGTCCTTGGAAAGTTCCTGAGCTATTTACAGCTTATAAATTCAGTGAATACCTTTGGTATTTACTGTATTATGACCTTCTGCTACAGAGTGACACGCAGGAACTCACTTAGGAAGATTTTGGCAGGACACTGAAACCCAATGTACCCAGAATGTGACCTTTCTGCATGCTAATTCTCCGCCTACTCCCAGAGACAGGTAGGGGACAGGTATTGTCTTCATCATCACGCACACATTGAAAACTCAGTAACATAGTCACACAAGACAGCCCAGATGCTCTTTCTAGAATAGAAAAGGCCATTTTTGCAAAGCTGTGATGAGTTGAATAATTTGTCGTCTCCGGCTGTCCCTGTGCAGAAAAGAGCAGAGAGAGAAAAGGTTGCCGGTGGGATTTTGATTCACTTGAGCTTGAACTGTGCTCCCTCTCTCTCTCTCTCTCTCTCTCGTCTCTCTCTCCATCTCTCTCTCTCTCTCTCTCTCTCTCTCTTCTCTCTCTCTCTCTCTCTCTCTCATACACGCACACTGACATCTAACTCACCCAAAAAGTGCTGCGTCACTGAAGAAGAACAGTAACGTGCTGCAGTCCTGCTTTGCTCCACTGATCTGATACAGTTTTGTTATCCCTCAGTAAAAATGAACAAAGGCTGACACTTGATCTCCATGGTAGTCTTTATTGCCCCCTTGTGGTCAGTGTCAACTACTTAATTACCTAGATACCCCTCACCACGCACACTTGCTCACACACACACACA